CTAATGAACCAATGGTATATGAGCCAATATACCATAATCTAATATCTGTACATTGTAACATTGGGTTTCTTCACAAAATAAAGTCAAGAAGATTTGTCTAATATCTTCGGGGCGTTTTTTTTTAATAAAACAATTATTCCACTCGCGCTTGCTGGATATGAGATGATTATAGCCAACTTGGAGCTACGCTCCTCGTTGGCTATCTATCTATCTTCTCATATCCAACACGCACACGTGGAATAATTTTTAAATAGATCATAGAAAGGAGGTGAGTCCCTTAGACAGAAAGAATGGGGAGAGGAGGCAGGGAAACCTCACAAAGATTTCCACTAGAGACTTCTTCCCGTTTTTCCAACATGTTCATTCCCAGTTTTCATGATGTTTGCATGACTACTAAGAATTATGTAACTTTCCACATTTTTGAAGTAATGCTCAACTCTACAAACTTTGCCTGAAAAAGCAAGTGATCATTATTTACTTTCTCCTTGCAACACAATATTCTGACAAGTAGAAAGACATCCAGGAAATAAATAAGCTATGGAAATTTGTTCAGCAGCATCTTGTTCAAGAAAAGCATCATTGTGTAGAGCATAGTCACTTGAAATCCATTGTTTACAATAAAAAGCCAACATGCCATAATAGCTACCCAGACCTCAAAGCACATTTTTATGTTAAATTTCATATTTTCATGAACAATTGTTGCAATTGGCATAAGTAAGGAATCACCCATTGAACTAACACAGGAGCATCATACTGCCTACTTGTAATTATCTCCCAATTGTAATAAAATAATAAATAATAAAGGAGAATCATCCCCTAAATAAGTTCTCTGAAAGTGTAGAAAAAAACTGTACCAAAGTACATTTACAACTGAATCAAAAAATGTACTTGTGCAATGAGACCACTAATTTCCAGAATTTCCTTTTGAGTGATGACTGGAAGCTGCAGACTTTTTACCTCCGTTATCTTTTTCCTGACTTACATTGGCACGTTTGTACTTGAATTCTAAAGAATCATGCATTTCTTCCATTTTATGACTGATAGTGGCACTTATCACAGCAGCCTTTTTAGCAGTAACATTAGCCACAATTGTGGCTAAATCTCCAGCTGATAAGTTTTCTGATGATGAGTCAAACTCCAAAAACTGCTGCTTCAGTTGCTGGACTGCTTCTTGGATTTCATTTTCATGATATGTTGTTCTTTCCTAAATAGAAAAGAATACAGTGTCAGTGTCATGTAGCTACAGTGATTGGTAAAGAAAAAGCTACTAACATATACAGTAAAACCTATATCAAGTAATCACTCGATATGAGGAAAAGGGGGACGAGGGCTTACAGGTTATACTGGTTCCACAGAATAGGAGTCAAGTGCAATCAGTAACAGTACAATTTCAGTATGCAATAATTACTCACTTTATTCGAATTTTATTCAAAAGCTTGCTCAAAAATGCATTGACTCTTGGTTAATAAACAGCATCAACAAAATGATAGGATAACATAAAAAAAAAAGAACAGTGAAGCAAAATTGTACACCATTTATCTATCAGTTGGACCTCTGGGTCACAACTGTAGCAACTGATTTCTTAAATGTCTGTGCATAACATTTATCCTACCAGTTCTAGGAGGAAAGACAATTTTCAATGTGTTGAGAACATTTGAACTCAGAGGGCTAAAATTTATTTCAGGAGATAAACATGAAATACGTTTTACTTGAGAAATTATCTCTAGTATTATTTGAGAGGTTCCACTGACTTTCACCGTTCAATACAGGAAGACAATACAGAAGACAATAAAAACAAGCCATCAGGACTCAGTCACCCCTATTAAGGCAGACAATTTTTATTCAATCAATCCCAATTGACCATGAACAATTTTGCTTGATTTTGTACATAAACTGTATCATTATACTTTTACTCTATTAAAATACATCATTCTCACCAAAGAGCATTACAAACATTGAAATAAATTGATTCAAGTAAGACAGTACTCAGGTGAAATAGGCAGCACAACTTCTCACAATGCACATTAATTACCTTTTAAGTTAACACGATATTATCTAGTCGTGAGTGACGTACACAGTCACATACCTGGTTACGTTTTAGCTCCATCTCTTCAATTTGTTTTATTCTCTGTTCCTCATCCCAAACACTCTTAGATACACCATCCCTCAAAGGTCGTGGAACCAAGGGAGGCTCAATAATCAGCTCACACCTGGTAATGTCATCAGCTCTTTCTTGAGTCAGAACAAATTGATACAGCTTGTAGTGTTGAAATAATGTCATGAAAACAAAATCTATCACAGACTTGAGGTTGTTTTCACTGGAGTAATGGGCAATTCTGTTGAGCTGTTGTTTAAACAGTGTTATAGCTTCTTCAAGGGGTTTGCCTGATCAAAAACAAAATTATTATTGGTGAAGTTTACACCCAAGGCAGTGGGGACAACATTCACTTCACCATTATTACAATTGTCTCTTTGCTTTTCAACTTCTCCAAAATACAGTTCCTCTATTTTAATTGCATTAAATTTCACTTTTGTGATTTTTGCCTTTGTGCTTGAAACTTCAATGGGGAACATAATTCTAATTGAACAACAGGAGTATTCAAGTTTGGAAATGTTTGTCTATTTGGAATATTGAAATGTTATTTTATTCTTCCAGCCCTAATTGCATCATTTCCTTTTACACTGAACCTCCCTACACACTACAAATTTACAGTACCATTAATGAATAAATGAAATGAATTGAAGGATCCCATGTAAATTGTTGGGTAAATAAATTGAAAGAAACAAATAAAGCAAAAATGCCATTACGGTTATATGGTTATCACATCAAGTTGGCTCAAGTCCCACACACTAAGTGTGAGACTCATGGAAAGAAATTCAATTTTAGTCTCTATATGCCAAACCTACTATTTCTCACTCATTTAAGGTTTTGGATCAAATCTGTTGATTTTGAGATAGCAAACTGCTGCTTTTGTTAAGTTCCTATCAATCTAATTGTCCTGGCTTCTAAATGTAATTTCCCTTCTTCAAATACCTCTCAACAGAAATTCTCTCTCAGTTTAAAGAAAGCACTTCTTAGCAACCTCATTTTTTAATAATTTTCTTGAAGAACATGCCCTCTCTCTCCCCAGACCCACTATAATTATAATAATAATAAACAATAGTTACAGAGGATATCACCAGTAACACTATAGAAAAATTCACTGCCTGACGAGTGAATTACACGTTAAATTTCACGCGAAAAACCGATATCGCACGAATCACGAAGCGATTCGTGCGACATCGGTTTTACAAGTGAAATTTTATGTGAAATTCACGAGTCAGGTAGTGAATTTTTCTTGAATTGCATAACAGAATAAAAATAAGAAAACAAGAAATTAAAACCGCAATGTTATTGTTTGTTTTTATTCCGTACGCACGCCCTTAAGAAAGCCATTTTAAAGTCAACTGTCAGAGCTGTCATTGTTAAGGGAATGGAAAGCAAGGTAAGTCGCTCATGTTTGAACCGTCGACAATTCTAATGGTACCTAGTGAATTTTTCTTGCATCACATAGCTAAAGCCACCAAATCACTTGGCGAAACCAGATGTTTTGTATTTTTGTGCACCACGCCAGTGCGCAAACAATGGAAACCCTTTCAAAGTCAGGTGTCAATATCTAGCGAATAGAGGGAACAAGATATTTTTAGAATGAAAACCACTTTTATTTCAAACTCGTGGAGAAAGCGGTGCCTCACATTTTACAATCTTCAGATTNACAACAGTCCAGCGCTCTATCCATTGAGCTAATTTGACCTCCCGCACAACAGTCCAGCGCTCTATCCATTGAGCTAATTTGACCTCCCGCACAACAGTCCAGCGCTCTATCCATTGAGCTAATTTGACCTCCCGCACAACAGTCCAGCGCTCTATCCATTGAGCTAATTTGACCTCCCGCACAACAGTCCAGCGCTCTATCCATTGAGCTAATTTGACCTCCCGCACAACAGTCCAGCGCTCTATCCATTGAGCTAATTTGACCTCCCGCACAACAGTCCAGCGCTCTATCCATTGAGCTAATTTGACCTCCCGCACAACAGTCCAGCGCTCTATCCATTGAGCTAATTTGACCTCCCGCACAACAGTCCAGCGCTCTATCCATTGAGCTAATTTGACCTCCCGCACAACAGTCCAGCGCTCTATCCATTGAGCTAATTTGACCTCCCGCACAACAGTCCAGCGCTCTATCCATTGAGCTAATTTGACCTCCCGCACAACAGTCCAGCGCTCTATCCATTGAGCTAATTTGACCTCCCGCACAACAGTCCAGCGCTCTATCCATTGAGCTAATTTGACCTCCCGCACAACAGTCCAGCGCTCTATCCATTGAGCTAATTTGACCTCCCGCACAACAGTCCAGCGCTCTATCCATTGAGCTAATTTGACCTCCCGCACAACAGTCCAGCGCTCTATCCATTGAGCTAATTTGACCTCCCGCACAACAGTCCAGCGCTCTATCCATTGAGCTAATTTGACCTCCCGCACAACAGTCCAGCGCTCTATCCATTGAGCTAATTTGACCTCCCGCACAACAGTCCAGCGCTCTATCCATTGAGCTAATTTGACCTCCCGCACAACAGTCCAGCGCTCTATCCATTGAGCTAATTTGACCTCCCGCACAACAGTCCAGGGCTCTGTCCATTGAGCTAATTTGACCTCCCGCACAACAGTCCAGTGCTCTATCCATTGAGCTAATTTGACCTTCCACACAACAGTCCAGCACTCTATCCATTGAGCTAACTTGATACTGGTGATGCCCATGGCATCTCACTTTTTCTAAGCAGCTAGATGACTCATTGTAATCAATTTCTATAACTTATGTATCTCCAAATAATATCTCATCAAAAAGGAAAACGCCTCATTAATATTCAACGGCAAAAAGACAAACTGCAGTGGAACACAAATCATAAGAGTATACTTTCTAGAAAAATATGCATGAAGATTTTTAATCAGTCAGTAACTTTTGTATTAAGTCTTGGTTTAAAAGGGGTGATTTGCATCCAATACTGCTCCGAATGAAACGCGTAAATCATCAGACCGTATCAATTGTTCTGTACACGAGAAGTCCAAATTTGTACGTGAAATTTTGTACAATATGTCAAGGACACTATAAAGTAAATGTTTGGACAGTTTGAGATAATTGTAGACAAAGTCAGTCATGATCCATAAAAGAAAGGCTGATATATGGCCAATATAATACTTTAAACAGACTTGAAGCCATAGTTAGCTTGTACATAACACCAGTAGCGACAACACTCATCGATCGATGAATTATGGAAAGTAAACTTAAATGTTAAATTAAACTTGTATTGATTAAATGGGTTTAGGTCTCTTCTTAATTGCTCCTTTCAAGAAATAATTTGAGTATGGATGTACCTTGATCTACATGCAATCTAGGTAATGGCTTACCTCGCACTTCGTTCAATAAATTTTGAAATACCTCCCACAGCAGAGACACTTCTCGCCATGGAAATCCATTGTTTACAAAAAAAGCCAAAATGTCATAATAAATATCAAGAAGTATCCCGGACCTTAAGTCATCTTCTTCGTTAAATTCTGCTATTTGTAGAACCTTAGCCAACAATTTCTTTCTTCCTTTTACGTCGGCAACACAAAAAACATTTTGAAAATCTATTTGTCTTGCATCCGACGCGGTAGCCATGTTTACTGCTTCGCAAGGCATTCGTTCCCAGGCAAACTCGTCCGTAGTGACTTAGGGCCCAGGCAAACTCGTCCTTAGTGACTTACACTCTAAACTTGATCAAAGAAATCTAAACAGGGAATAAGAAATAAATAAATAAATAAATACTAGTGAAACCTAAGTAAAAGTTGACAATTTTATGATCTTGCCCCAGTCTATTTTAAACAGCCTCTTAATAAAAGAGTCCAGCTAAATTGCACATTTGTAAAACAAGGTTGGCTCTTTATTTGGCGTATAGGGATAAGATTTCAGTTTTCTTAATGTGTGGTAGCCTCTATTCCAGCTACATCTAACATCTCCAGACCGCAACAACTCAACCGGAAGATTACCTCTTAACAATAAGGAGAGCGCTTTCCCCACGCCAATCATTGCCGCTCTTATCACAGTTCGAGCCATGCATATCCGTCATCCTCCGTGTCGCCCGACGGACTTCGCCGAAAAGGAGCGACTGCTTATAGCGTAGAAAATTATAGTTAATGCATATCACGACATCTAATAGGTGGCAAAAGCAGTGAAAAAGAAACAGTTACAAGTTTGCAACACTTTTATTCATCAGAGGTCATGAAACTCTCAGTGCCCTGTCTATTGCTAGGGCATTCGCTCCGACGAAGGACATTCGCTCCGACGAAGGGCTAACGCTCGAAACGTCAGCTTTTGTAATCGTTACGGTGGCCAATTTACCATTTCAACTTTGTTGATATATCCAAATTATTTCGTTACTCCCACCGACGCAGCCCCAAACAGTTTCTTTCGAAACTATCAGCCTTTATTCGTAGGGCATACGATCATGACAATATCGTTCTGTGATTTGTACAAAAAAAGAAGCACAGTAAATTACTATTTTAAATTTCACAGATATAATGATTAAAAGGTGAATCTTTGCACGAGAAAATCTCAATGCACAAATGTAATACTACGTGTACTATTCAAGTTAGCAGTTCGTCAGCAAGGTGGATGGGTCATTTTAAAACACGCGAGAAGTTCAATCAATCAATGATTTTGGCCGGTAGAACATTATACTTTTTTCACAGTGAATGATAACAGTAACCGGTCGGTCGTGCCCGTTATTGCACTGATGACAACAACCGACGCTTTGAATACCTGGTTGGAAGTCATCATCAGAGCCTGTCGTCGGTCACCGCCTTGACCGAAAGTAGTTACATTCAGAACTTGAACACATCACCAAATTTCACTGTTTTTCAAACCAGTGAGAGCAATCAAGAAGTTAGACGGTTACGACACGTACAGGGCGTAGACATTGACACAGGTTTGTCCATCGTTATTAAATTCCTCTCCGTCAACGAAATCCTCGTTATACCATATTTGGTACTCCTCGCCATTAGTTACCTTCAGTGGTAGAGACAGGGGTGGAAATACCAGCTCTGATGAGTTGGCATGGTAACCAGCTAATGAGTAAGCTTTTTCCTTGTAATCTTCTGGGAAAACTACTTTCTTGGCTGCACTGGTTAAAATTGTTGCAATGCTCGATCCTTTTCCGCACGCCCAGTGGCTTCCATAAGGGAGAGTTCTGTTATTACACGTCACAAACCCTGAAATGTACTGCAGCTTCATTGTTAGAATAGCCCCAAGCGACGTCATAGTGAAGTTCCCGTATGTATTATTTTTGGCGCCAAAGCACACCTCATCCGTGTTGAGTTTACTCCATGAGGCACCTAAAAGCGATGATGGGCAACGTTATAAAGTGCTCTGACTTTGGAAAAGTCACAAGAAAGACTGTTACCGATGGAAAGTCGCTCAAATTGAGGAATCATGACTTCAAAGGAGACTGAGGCCAAAAGCCTTCAACTCAGCCTCATAAAAATTCGGAAAGCACTTCGAAAAAGAAATTTGTGGATCTGAGTAAACTGTTCAGTTATTATTTTTTTTACAAGCTCTGTGTCTGAATGGAAAATTTAGCACCCTCTCATCTGCAGGGCTGTTGATGAGTCAGTCTTTCCATTGTGTTTTTCAAATTTTTTAAAAGTAAAATCTGCAAAATTATGAGCTATGGTTTAACGTGGTCTGTACTCTTAGTCGATGACGGCATTCGTCATCACCCCTGCGATGACGAATATCGTTGTCGATAAGAGTACAGACCACGTTAAACCACTGTCCATTTGTTTTTTACCGTAATATCAACATCAAATAAAACGATTCCTTCAGTGCGTGCCAAATTGCGTGACACGTTGACGTAAGCAGCGTTGTCTGTATTCTTTTCGACAACGACAAATTGACCAATCAGATTGCGACATTACTGCCAATTGTGGTAAAATCCAGTTTCGTCCGAGATGGAATTAGACAGCAAACGTGTGCGAAGGAAAGATTAAAACTACTTCACGTTGAAATGAACTATCCGTCCTAAGCGACGAAAAAAATTTGAAAGTGTTACTGAGTTTACTTTATGGCACACACATTACCAGTCTTCATTTTAAATGGCAACTGTGAGAATTAAGTGCAAACTAATGGTTTTTCCTCGGGATAAAGGCAAATCCCGATTCTAGCTCCACATGGGGCTAGAAATCATTTTGTATAGGAGGCGTTGATCTATATTTGTGGGATTTTCGCAATACTAGGCAGTCTCAACAGAAATGAAAATAACGGTTTCTGATACAAACTGTAATGTTACCTTGCACAATACTCCCTGGACTTCGTTCGCAATAGAAGCCGTTGGATCCGTATAGTGGGTTACAGGTTCCTCCTTGTTTGCATGGTTTGTTTTCACACGGGCTCTGAAACAATTAAGGTAGCACTCAGAGAAGGTGAAGAACGAACAGGCATTGGAAAGAAATAGGAAAGAATATGAGAGCAGGTCATTCAAAAGAAAAATTAAATAAATAGAAACCAAACGGCTCATCTTTGAACCATCTTATATCTTTGATATTTTGGAATGAGAACTATTTTTTGGCCTATCTAATTTTAGGTGTTGCGGATATATTATTCAGCTGCAATATTACTAGTCAACGAAAAATTCGAATCTAGTTCAGAAAAAGTTTTCCTTCTCATCTTGCTTTAATCTAACCACTGTTTATCCTTACCATCAAGCTGTAATGATTGTAAAACTGACTTGGTTGAAATCTGTCATTTCGGGTCTACTAGTTTTCGAGGAGCAACTCACAGTTGTTGTTTCCCGGCGAGTGAACGGCAAAGTTGAACGAGGTGCAGAAGATTTGTTGCAGACATTTAAACGCACACATCATATTTTCATAAGTTGAAACAGATATATTGGGTTTAACATCCAAAACAAAGCGAACATGTTCAACAAAAGTGGTGCCACTGTCACGTTTTCCAATTCCATGATCACTACTTCCAGTAGCGGTTTTCGAAAACGTAAAAACTGCAGCAAGGAAGACATGGCAATAGAGGAATCCCTTAACAAATACGAGCGAGCTCATAGCACGGCTGCTTGAAAATAATTTTTAAAGCTTTATCAGAGGTATTGAGGTCTGACGTTTGGTTAAATAAAATTTTGGTACGTCTGTTTAAATAATGAAAGTGAAAAGACAGCTCGATTACAAATGAGTTTTCTTCGACGTAATGTAACGGTGAACATTGAAAGCGAAAATCTTATCTCGCCTACAAGATTACGATCTTGAGTTCGTGGACACCGCGTCAGTACGCGGGTTATATAAAATAATTGGAAATTAAATTAGTTTTTTTTTTTTAGCCGTAGCTTAATGAGCTTGCGCAGAGCCCTTAAGTCACGGTTACTTTACTTTAGTTAATGTAATGGATCTTCAGTTTGATACATTAAAAAGGAAGTGACAAGTGGCAGATGCTTTGAATGACTGAAGCAAGCGCAATGAACCTCAAAGAATCCTTTTTGTCAACTGTTTTCTTTCTGTACTTTCTGTCTATTGAAACAGGAATGAAGCCGGAGAACAAGGCCATAGATTGAAAAAATTAGCTCATGATTACTTCTTCATCGCCATGGCCATCTATGTCAAGACAACTTTACACCCGTAATTTTGTTTCTATAATTTCAACCACTTGTACTTTTTGATGTCGCAAATTCAACAAAGTCACAACTTCAACACAGAGACAAGTCCTCGAACGCACCTGCTGGCAGTTTCCCTCAACCTCCGACTCTAATTTCCTATTCACACATGAAAACTAATTTCTTCAAATAAAACCACTAAGAAATCTAATTTAACCACCGAGGAGTCATTCGACAGCGAGTACTGTTTTTGATAAATTTTGCAGGCCAGGAGAACACCTGTCGACAAAGTGATGATAAATTTTACTTCGCTTTCCGTTTCTCACAGAAAAAGTAAAGAATTGTTGATAAAACTACAGTTTGTTTAAATAAAGAAGACCTGTGTTTTCTCATTGTCTACCGGGCCTCTTGGCGATCTCAGCATAAAGTTATGATAAATTTTGCTTTGCTTTTCTTTTTCATTAAGAAGTTCTGACTTCGTCAAATAAAACCAGTAAGATGTTTTAATTTGAGTAGCCTGATGGCGAATTGGCACTGCCACTAGTTAAGTAAAATTTCAAAAGATCTGTGATGCTAGGACGTCAATTGACCCATTCCTGATGTTTTTAGCATGATCGCAAGTGATGACTGGTATAATATATGGAACTGTAAAACCATTAGCACTACGCGAATACTGCTCTTCATCTTTTCCAAGAGGGTAACAAATCCTGCAGTCTGAGTTGTTCTCAGCGCGTTCTGGATTCTCACGACTACGCCTACAGTCACGGTAAGGATTTCGTGAATATTCAGGATTTTTGTCTTAAATACAATAAATAGATAGCTAGATAAATACGTACATAAATAAAGGGGATTTGAGTTTCGCTTCATGCTCTCGATACTTCACCACTGGTGATCAATGCATCACTTACGTTCCACTGTTCAAAAATGACTATTTCATATATTTTTTTGCGGCGGCCAATAAAAAACGAAGTCAAATGTTTTTCAAGTTACTAGTTCGTCAAATGTCACGCACACTCATTGAAAATGTTTTAAACCTAATTTCAATCTCATGAAATTCATTTATTTGTCGAAACCGTGACAATAGTCTTATTTTACAAGATTACATTGTTACTTAACAGTTAATATCCACTTTGTTTTATTTACATCAGTATATACAAAATGGAAGGCTATAAATTAGTTATAATTCTTGCAAGTGTTAAGCAACAACAATCATAATTTGTTTTTGTAAAACAAGTAATATAAACAATCGAATATAGCAATACGGAAAAAATTTTAACTCATTTTACTTCTCAAAGCTCATATCAGGGTAAAGAGGGTTCTGAATAGTCAATAATGGTTTTCATAGAGGAAAAAAAAGAAACAGATGGACGCGATTTCTCTCTCTATCAATATATCAAATGCCCCTCCCAAACAACAGTACAAGGAGACAATTGTGTCTCAGCCGAGAACGCTTTATCTCTATGGAAATTCAGTGAATTGCCAGCCATCCTAAGTCACGTGATCACACACCCAACCACTCCACTTCAAAGGACGTTTATGTTTTAAGATGGTTATCTGTCTTGTTGCTATGGGGATACAATGTAACTGATGCTAAATGGTTGTTAGCCATCACCTGAAGGACAAAATAAAATGAAATAAAAAAAGTAAATAAATACGTCTTATGATATAAATCAGTTAACAAACGTGGTGAAGTTGTACAAACATATTTCCAATATATCCCTAACCCTAATCGTCGCTGGTACGCGAGCTCCCGAAACGAAATTCACTGGAAACACAGTCACGTTGCCAAAAGATTTTCAATTAAGAATTGACCTTCACATGTCCGTAAGTCATCTAAAACAATTCACAGGAGCTATAATTGTGTACTCACACAACTACCTTTTTATTTTTACAATGGAATGGCCTGGCCTTCTTTCATTAAAGGAAATATTGTTCCAACGAGTTTTAGTTTCATATGTCGCGTAGTGGTGAGGAGAAGTTGAAGCTTTGTGCATAATGGGAAAATTGGTCTGGCGTCGTATGAATGATCAGCGATCGGTTGTTTTGATTTAAATGTTTGATCTCCTTAACCAACAAAGATGCAATTTAAGCAAAATTCAGTGCGATTCATGAATGAATCTCACTCCCGAGGCCTCTTAGATTGAAAGGATCAGTTTATTTTTCAGTGAATATTATAAATAGGTAGATCCTGTCAGACTATTGCTGACAAACCTCAAAAATCATGTGTTGCAGATTGTAGCAGAAAGTTGAGCCAAACGGGTTGGTGGTGTTGGTGGAAGAAGACCTGCAGAGAAAACAAGATAATAGCAACATCAATATCAACATCATAAATAGCAATGTAGACTGAGACAAATTTAAGTTACAAATACAATTTTTAACCAGAAACTCTGCTAAACTTAACCTAGAACTTACCGATTGAGTACCACAGGCGCCTCCACTGGTTTTCCCAAGTAATCCTGAACACTGTCCCACTGGGTGAGTAGGAAACAAACCAAACAAAACTATAAATTCAAACATTTTCTCGTCATCACTCGGCGAATATGACAGTGTGTAGGAATAGAGTGTATTTCAACACTTTGGACCCTTACATCAGCCTACTATTATGCTACCATTTAAAATATACGGCGAGAAGAAACAACTGGCTGGAAACAGAACTTTCCAAGACCCGAAGCCTTTTGGTTACGATGAATATATGAAGTTCACATATTTTGAACTGCGGTTAT